TGCATGGCTTAATAAAAACTGAGCAACATTTCATACTTTTGCTGTTTAGGCTGTTCTTTTGGGTTTCAGGTTTTCTCTATTTTTAAGGGGAAGTAACTCATGTTTTACTAAATTATTTGTTCTTTTTCTGTCTATCTTAGGTATTACTTATCAAAATATTTTTGTTGTATAAAATTTACCAGTTGTAAGGTCATCAAAAGCATGTTAATGTTAGGATTTCATATTTTATTTAATAGAAACTGGGAATTATTAATGTTATGTGCATACATGTATATCTTAGTGTATTGATATGATGAAACTTATAATATTTAAAGATTTACAGTTATGTCATTTATTATTAAAGCGATGAAACTTTCATTTAAAGTTATAAATGATATAATACATGTATTGACTGAAAATTTTTCCTTAAACTTGGATCAAGCAATATAATTATTAAAGTCTCAAAAAAATCATATTCTGAATAGAACTTATTCTAATTTTAACATAATAACATGTGCATAGTTTGAAAAGGACAGCTTCTGTCTTATCATCTATTTGTAATGGAGGACAACCGGTCTCAACCTCCAGGTCTCCTGAGTCAACCCGACAACAGACTTTACATAGAGCAGATTGTTACTTGCCCTTGAATAAAATTGCGCACTAAATTTAAAAGTGGGTGATTTGTGCCACATGAAAACCAACATAGTACAAAAAGTAACTGGGCGCCAGATGAAAACACGAAAATACAAATCTACCACAAAGTGGTTTGTATGTTGCATTTTTATGTTTTCGCCCTGGATGCAAAATACAAATCAGGCTTCATAAAATTTCTGATCATAGAAAAAAGGTTAGTTTTTTATCTGTACAAAAAATAGGTATTGTACATGTATTAGCACAGTTATGTTCACTTTAAAAATTGACCTGTTATAAATAATGGCACTAACTGCCTTAGCCCTTTTTAGTAAAAATAATTATTGTATACAATAATATATATAAATTGTTATTTTTAATTAAGACAATGAGTATGTAAGTTTTTTTTTTCTTATTTGATTGATTAAGAACTAATTATCTGTTAATTTAAAAATCTCAAAGTATCTGTCACGGTTTAGAACTGTTCACTATTTCGGGGAGAAAATGTAAAAGTGGCCAGATAGCTTAATCGCTACAGCTGCGGTACATTATTCTGTGGGTCACAGGTTCGAGTTCTGGTCAAGCTGAAAGTTTTTCTCATCCTGTGACTGCATATAAGCATAAGTTCAATTCACTATGCTCTGTAAACATAAGAAATTCAAGGACACAAATCAATATAGTGGGAGAATATGTTATGGTTACGAACTGTTCATTATCAAAGAGAAAATGTGTAGCCGGCCGGATAGCTCAGTTGGTCTTCTGAAAGTCATGGGTTCGAGTCATGGTCAGGCAGTTTTAGTCAGGATTTAGAAGTGGTTTTTCAACTGACACAATTCATGTTTGATTCATTTAACAGATTGCATTAAATTTAAAATAGACACAGGAAGTATTGCATGATACTCTTAGATCTACAAAGGGCATTTGATACAGTTGATCCTTCTATACTGCACATGAAGAAGCTCTTTTTCTTCTTCTTCAAGAAACTTCAAGCATCTGCCATATGTAATGACATTCTTACAGGGTTTAAGTCTTATCTCTAATAGACAGCAGCTGGTGGATGTGGCTGGTACCCATTCTACTACTGCTCTGAGTACCTATGGTGTCCCCCTTATGTTAATTTTAGGTCCTCTTTTATGTCTAATATATGTCAATGACATGTCTGCAACCCTAAGCAATAAGTTTTTATTATATGTACAGGCACGAGTATCAGACCTGGGACCAGATTGTTTAAAAAAACTGTGTTCATCTCAAAAGTGTCAAAAACCAAAATAAAATGTAAATAATGACCCCCATTGAAAATATACTTTAAGTTAATTATTCTAAGTATATATTTAAAGGGGGTCATTATTTACATTATTTTGGTTTTTATGAACACATGTTTTTTTTATCAATCTAGTCATATTTTTTCGTCCCAGGTCCGATACTGGTGCCTGTGATTATATGCTGATTACTCAGGAATCCTTGTGTCTGGTAAAATAAATCTGAAGAAATTCTTTCTTGTTATAAGTATGAGTCTTATAAGATTGGTTAATTGACTATGAATTGTCTTTGAATCTTGGCAAGACAGAGTCTATTCTTTTTGGTTTAAGTTTCAATTTAAACTGGGCCTAGCCTCCAGGTCACATGTAATGGTACTGCTATAAAGTACACATCTTTTGTTAAGTATTTAGGTGCAGACCTGGATCAAATCTTTTTGCGTCGCCCTTTGATGCTTTGCATCAATGCTTTTCTTGTTTTACGTTTTAATGTTTTAGCGAGACTGCAGCCTACATATGTACTCGTTTAACTTATTAAACGCACACGATGCATTTCAGTGTCGTTTATGCAAAAACTTCTGTACAGTTTGACGAGGGGACGCAACTTTTACCTAATTTTGTTTAAAAAAACACGTACACATGTGTGCAAAACGACCCAATAATACAACGGCATCACATCATATCAATGATACTTTCACAAAATATCCATATTTTGGAAATTCGGGAAATTAATAATGCCAGTTTATAAAACAAATGGCAACAAATGATTTCAACGAAGACGGCACTTGATTCGATTGCAATACACTGCGATGTACCCGATACCATTTAAAGGGACTCCAATGAGGTTAAAAAAAGACTAAAAACATAACATTTGAATTTCTTACATAAATGAGCTGGGGATCTTTGAACAGAAATATATGCAAAGATAGTTAAGAAATATTCTTTGAAATACATTGGAAATCGTATGTTTATGCTTTTTTTAGCCCGATTTGAGTGAAAAGCGTTTAAACCGCTTTTCATTTGCGTCATTTTTTACAATTTGAATAATTATTCTGGAAAAACGAAGTGCACGAATGATCTAAAATTTTGCACAAAGTTTATTGGTTTTAACCTACATCAAATGGTACATTTATCAGGAAAAATATTTTCAGTCCCATCATGTCAAAAATCATGTCAGTGGAGAGTCCCTTTAAGTATATTTTGAGGGTTAAACTTGATGTAGCGCACTTTTAATTGAGTATAGACCTTTTTTACTTTGAAATCGGAGAAACGTGTTTATGATGTTTTAAACGTTATAAATTACTATATATATGCTTGTACAAATAAATGTCCGTGTTCCGCTTCCATTTTCCTTTCATTGAAATTTCCTTTAGCCTTAATTATCACAGAATAAACCTTGGACTTAAAAAGGCGTAAGTACCAGCAATTTTGCAGACCACATATTTGTGTCACATGTGTTTCGCGAGTTTAAGAAATTCAAATGCTGTGTGAGATCAAGATGTGAATGATACGTCTGTTACAGCAAGTTATAGTAATAACAGCAGAGTGAAAATTAAATGGTACACTTTCAGGAATTTGCAGACGACACATTTGAATCATATGTGTTTCGTGAGATTAAGTTATTCCAATGTTATGAAATATCAAGATGTCATTCGTCCGTTTCTGCGAGATATGTGAAAACGAGCAGAATGAAAATTGCATGGCATTTTGCAGACGACACATTTGTGCCATATATGTTTCGCGAGTTTATGCAGCGAGATCGTGAGGACTATAGTAACGCATCGATGATTGAATGAATTGTATCATCTGAAAACTAAGATTGTCAGCTTTTCGGACAAATGCAAAATTCTGTTATCGGGCCTGCCCAATGTCGCATAATTCACGGGCCATTTCAATACAGTTTTCGATGAATTTAAAACAAAACGAAAGATGTTTAAAGAAATCTAAAAGAAAGCGTGATATATTTTATGGGATGTATTAGACAGAAAATGAAAATAGACAAGCGTACAGCTCGAATTCGCTATTCCTTTCATTATCTGTTTACATCAATATTGACAAACAGAGGTGTCGATAATTCTTCTATAAAAGCATATTATTTATCGCCTAAATCTTTAATCACCAAAATAATTACTTAGTTTTAACCGTTCAGCGTATTAGCGTTGTGGTTGAGCGTTGGCTTCCTCAGTGTAAAGACCCTGGTTCGATTTCTCGAAAAGGAATTTTTTCTTTTCTTATATTTTTTTGTTGTTGTTTTTTTGTTGGTTTTTTTGTTGTTGTTTATTCCAAAGATCTGGATTTTAGTTCCTCGTGTATTTGGTTCATACAATGCTACCGGTATTTGAGAACATTTAGTTTTACAAACATTCGCTTCCGACCGGTTAAATTAGAGGCAACCCGCACAGCCGGATCACTGAACACATTTCTTTAAAAGCCTGACCCAGTTATTTGTACATAGGCAAACATAACCCTGTAATCCTTATCATGTTTAAGGGTGACAAAAAAAAACCATGTACTTTTTATTTTTGCGAGTTAAGATAATATTATAGTGAGCAGTTTTGTTTCCACTCTTCATTACTTTAAAGCAGAACACCTCCAAATCATGCTTATTCTCATGAAAATTTTGAAAATGTATTGAAAAGTAAAAGATTGTGAAGTAAACACTGAAGATTGAAAGTAATCAACACTTTGCAAATGGCACTTACATTTCACATACCAAAAAGAGGTCAAAATATGCAAAAAGTCGCCCTTACTGCGCTATTCACGCAATAGTCTGTCATTAATCACTAATAAAGTGTAAGTTATTACTTGACCCTTGAATTGAAAGTCATTTCTTGCATCTACAATCTTTTTATATTTTTTTAAAAAACTTCTTTTTCTCAAGTTTGATTTTCTTGAAATATTTTGGCTTACCTGGAGGCATGCTTCTTTAAGATTATTTATTTCTATGATGCTAAAAATTAAATGGTTCAGATGTTGGTCTAATTGAGGTAATGTGAAGATGCACATGTACATGTTGCACGATTTCTAACAAAATATATTTGGGAAAAAAATCATGAACTGAATAGTCTTCACCAATTGAAATGTTATTTATTATGGCTGTGTGGAGAACCAGCTGATTTTGCACAATTTCATTGCACAATTTCAGTTAAAACAGGTGTCAAAAAGTACATGTATATATATTTTAATAGCAAAAGAACTTTTTAATGTATAAATGTTATAAATGTATTTTTAAACCAACTAGAAAATTTTATCTTCCTGTTTTGATAATCACCACTGACCAGTCCATTCATGGTCTGACCATGAGTGATATATGACTTTGTAAGACATTTTTTTGTTATGCGCAATAGTGCCACATTTACAAAATTCAGTATTTTATTAACAAATTATTTATGGCAGATTTTAAGTTGAGGTCAGTGGTTATCATCAAACTTTTAGAATGTATAAAGACAAAGTATAATAAGTATGTATAGATGATTTTAGTACATTTATAAGGAGACAACCATTTAGGGTACCATTTAGTACAGTAATGAGATTTCATTCTTCCATTTTAATATTTACAACCCTAATGTTATTACTCATACAGTTATATTGTAGGTATAAATATTAGTACAATTTAATTATTTTAAGTATAACATTCAATGCCTGGAATATGCTGTTTTACTTATAAATGTCTTAGAGATATTAATTATGATGTGTTTATATTGACATGTAAATGTGTATAATTAACGTAAATAAGGGAGGTAAATCTACAGAAGATATTACAGTTGTATTATAGATCTCTGTAATATGGACTGTGGAGTTGCGTCTCTTATAAACTATAACAGTCTGTTATAGTTCTTAAAAGAATGGCTATACAATTCACTGTATGTATATTGTTTTAATTGTATATGTATGTATAGATCAGACCATAATAAAATAAATAAATGAATAATAAATAATATATGAAACGACTTCTATCAAAATGTGATTTTTGTTTCATTAAGCATTAGACGTTTATATTGCCCTATTATCTATACAGCGATTTTGTTTTTCATACTGGCTGGATAATGTTCATGAGGATTTGATTATAAGAGTTAAAGATCCAAATTGCTTATTCTTTACCTTTTTGAGAAAAAAGTCTAAGTTTGACTGCGTGCGTAAATCATTGCTAAGAGCCCTTTTATTATGAAATAATTTTTAAAAGTTCCTGAAGGAAAAGGTAGTTGTGCATAACCAATAGTTCCCTTATTATTGTAGTGTTGCAATCTACAAAAATCGTCATTATCTATATAGTTGTTTTCCCACATATCTAAATAGCGAGAGCATTGGATTAGAAATCAAGGTCGCTGGCTGCGATCTTCGAGCGAGGGAGGAATAATTTCTCTGTGACATTAAATTAAATTCTCTGACACTGACATCGAGTCTAATGGGTCATGAGTCCGTCACTGCTGATACAGAAATCATGTAGTCAGTCACTTGTGGACAAATTGTTATTTACTGGTTAGTTATTCAGTAAAATCGACTCCTGAGATATCACAAGAAAATGTCTTGAAAACATAAAAACCAGATAAACATTGTTACAAACAAACTAACATAAATGAATTGTTATTTAAATGATTGGTATATACTCCATGCATTATTTAGTTATTAAATAATATTGCTAATATAAGTAAAAGACTACAAACATACTAAATTACTTATAGATTTAACAGATCAATACAGTTTGTAAAATGAAGCACAAATGCTATAATAAATGCATTTTATCACATAAAAATCAAAACCATGTTTACAAAAGTCCAGTATTGTTAATTTACAAAATATGAGTGAATGGCATTATATAAACAAGAAGAAGCAATTTTTATTACAAGATGCATGTGTGTGTATACTCAGCTTAGAAACTAACTCAATCCTGGATCCTCAAGTTAAATTGAGATATGGACAAACCATATTTGCTTCATAAAGTTTCTGTGTCTGCCTCTAGTGAAAATGAAAACATAGAATACATGTTTATCAATTACCCATTGCCGCTTTTGTGACTCTGTAAAAATTCCTTTGCAAGGCCGTGCATATATTTGAATGTGATGTCATTCATGATTTGCGTCATACAAACACAGCATTATGGCATGTTAAATAAAAGCATAGCACTATAGGCATGTCAAAAACAAAAAGGATTATTTAAATTTTGCAAAATATAAAAAAAATCATACAAGAAAACATAGAAAAAATTCATGTGATTGAAACATACAATTTTCAATTTGAAACCAACTGGAAGTCTTGTACCTTTATGTCACTAAGGCTTGTAAGTTAAGTCTTAAGCTGGTTATTCTAAGTTTATTTATTCAACAACATACATTAAAATTACAAAATCTGATAATACCGGACCAAAGGTCATTGAATATTCAAATATCTCAGGTCAAAATTACCAAACAATAACAATAGCAAAAGACTACATGGATGTAACTTCCTGTAAGGTAAAGATGTAAAGGCTTGTAAAATGAAATACAAATGATATTATTAAATGCATTTATCACAGTAAAATCAAAATCATTGTTAAAGAGTGAAAGGCATTAATAAAAACAAGAAAGAGCAATTTCTATTACAAGATGCATGTGTGTATACTCAGCTTAGAAACTAAAACTATCCTGGATTGAGATATGGACACACCATATTTGCTTTATAAAGTTCCTGTGTCTGCCTCAAGTAGCAATGAAAACAAAGTATACATGTTTATCACAAGCCTGTGCCTCTGTTGTGACTGTAAAAACGCCATTGCAAAGCGTGCTTTTAATGTGATGTCATTTCATGATTTCCGTCATACAAACAAGGTTTCATGGCGCGCTAACACTATAGGCATGTCAATAACAAAAAAAAAGAGAGAATCATTTGCACTTAAAACACAGAGATGACTTTATTTTATATTTATTTATTTTAGTTTGAGTGTGTTTGAAGCTCTAAGCTCTCAATGAAACACTTTTGAATCTGTTCCTTTGACGACTTTTGACCTATACTTGTGAAAGTTAATGAAAGTACCTTATCACATTCATCTATGCCTTCATTTCACAAAATAACATATCAAAATATTTTCCCATTTCAGTCAAATAAATCCACAGCTAGCATTGGTACTACGGAGCGCATATGATTGAAGATACTCTCTGGTTTGATACAGAGCTCAAACATCAAGTTTTTAGGTAACTTGTCAATACCACTGGCTGTAAAATAAGAAGAATCTCTCAGGTTATAGTAAATGGCTGGTATTCCTTTCACCAATATTCCTACAACCTCATTATCCTCTATAGCAGGTGCTCCTGATGAACCATGTTCAAAAGATGTGTGGCAAGGAAACATATCAGTGTTATGTAATTCAATGTATTCACCTTTTATGCCACCAGGTTGAAGTCCATTTAGTTGCAAGACACTTGGATTTGCATTGAAATAATTGTCAATGGTTGTAATTATATGGTTAATGTTCAGAACTTCACAGTTCGCATCCAGTCGTTTCCTGGAATCATTGGGTTGTCCAAATCCAATTATGCTTACGCATTTCCTTTTCCCCATATCTTTACTTAATGTTAGGCTTCTTGGCAAATCTTTTGCAGTGCTTAGTTCTAGAACTGCAATGTCTAGCTGTTTGTTCATGTAAATCACGTCTGGTTTAATGTGAAATATTGGTCTTCGGAGGTCCATCACAGTTCCAGCAAATGTGATATACACAGTTGGGTCATCAAGCTTGGACCAGTCAGTATCTGCAATACTGCACAGTTCTTTAGGATCTGAAGGAATCCATAAAAATAAAAATATTTTCAATTAAGGTATCACATAAATCTCCTTACATATGAATGTCAGTGTTTATACATGGGTGCCCACTTGTTCGTGAAATAATTAAAACTAGAACTATCACTAAATGTGATTAATACCCCCGCAAGACTGCCTCGGAAATGAGGAAGTTACTAGTAACAGAATACCTTACAAAAGAATTGAAATAGAGTTATGGTTGTGTGCAATTAAAGAAAGTAGTTGTGGTTCTTGTATGTTGCATTTCCTTTCAATTTGGTTGACAATTGATGAAGTTTCATTGAATTATTCTGTAATAAGTCCAGAAAGAGTAACGCTTCTTGAGCACTGCACTTCCTCTCATTGCTCTTGACCATTGTATGAAGTTGAATTGAATTCTAAACATTAAGTTTTAAGTTATGCACCGGACAAGGAAAAAGAACAAAGGGCAATAACTCTACAAATACTGAAGATGGGGTTATGGTTATTAAGCACTGCACTTCCTCTCACTGGCTTGACCATTTTATGAAGTTGTATTGAATTCCAACAACTAGTTTTCAAGTTATGCACTGAACACAAGAAGTAGCAAAGGGCAATGACTGTAATTTGTTCAAATAGAGTTATGGTTCTCGTGCACTGCACTTAATCTCACTGCCCTTGACCATTGAATTCCAACCATTAATTTTCAATTTATGCACTGGACAATAAAAAGGAACAAAGGGCAAAAACTCGTAAATGAGTCAAGAAAAAGTTATGTTTTCTGTGCACTGTGCTTTCACTTAATCTATTTGACCATTGTATGAAATTGTATTGAATTCCAACAAGAAGTTTTCAAGTTATGCTCTGGACAAGAAAAAAGAAATGGAAAAGTAACAAGGGGCAATAACTCGTTAATTACTCTGGACATAGTTATGGTTCTTGTGCACTGCAGTTCCTCTCGTTGTGCTTGACCATTGTATGAAGTTGTTTTGAATTCCAACCAGTACTTTTCAAGTTATGCTCTGGAAAAGGAAAAGTTTATATCAAAGGGCAATAACTCTGTAATTTGCAAAAATGGTGTTATGGTTCTTGCGCACTGTACTTCCTCTTAATGTGCTTGACCATTGTATGAAGTTGTATTGAATTCCAACTAGAAGTTTTCAAGTTATGCTCCGTACAAGGAAAAGTAACAAAGGGCAATGACTCTGTAATTAGTCAAGATGGAGTTATCGTTCTTATGCACTGCACTTTCTCTCAATGTACTTGACCATTGTATGAAGTAATATTGAATTCCAACCATTAGTCTTTAAGTTATTGTCCGGACAAAAGAAAGAAATGGAAAAGTAACAAAGGGCAGTAACTCTGAAATAACTTTAAATAGAGTTATGGTTTTTGTGCATTGCACTTACATTGTAACATTGTTACATTGTCCGGACAAAAGAAAGCAATGAAAAAGTAACAAAGCGCAATAACACTGTAATAACTTTAGATATAGTTATGGTTCTTGTGCACTGCACTTTCTATCAATGTGCTTGATCATTTTGTGAAGTTGTATTGAATTTCAACCATTAGTCTTCAAGTTATGGTCCGGACAAAAAAGCAACGGGAAAGTTACAAAGGGCAATAATTCTGTAATTAGATAGTGATTTGGTTCCTATGCACTGCACCGCCTTTCAGTGTGCTTGACCATTGTATGAAGTTTAAGTGAATTCCAACCAAAAGTCTTCAAGTTATGGTCCGCACAAAAAAGCAATGGAAAAGTAACAAAGGGCAATAACTCTGTAATTACTTTAGATAAAGTTATGATTCTTGTGCACTGCACTTCCTTTCAATGTTCTTCACAATTGTATGAAGTTATATTGAATTCACATCAAAAGTCTTCATGTAATGTAATGGAAAAGTAGCAAAAGGCAATAACTCTGTATTTACTTTAGATAGAGTTATGGTTCTTGTACACTGCACTTTCCCTTATTGTGCTTGATCATTGTATGAAGTTGTTTTGGATTCCACCTTGTACTTTTCAAGTTATGCTCCGGACAAAGAAAAGTAACAAAGGGCAATAACTCTGTAATTAGTGGAGATAGAGTTATGGCTCTTGGGCACTGCACTTCCTCTCAATGTGCTTGACTATTATTTGAAGTTGTATTGAATTCCAACTATTAGTCTTCAAGTTATGCTCCGGACAAGGAAAATGCAACGGACCGCTGGACCGACCGACCGACCACCGAGTGACTCCTATATACACCCCCCACGCCTAATTTCGTCTCGGAAGTATAAAAATTCAGGGAGGGGCACCAAAGGTCTTCCTCTACTGGTAAAGCTGTAATGTTACCATTTACTATTAGTTCGGGACTTAAAACCCAACAAAAACAAAAAGAAAAAAAGAAAGGTTTCTTACTTGTAATTCTCTTCACAACATGCAAAGCTGTCATTACATATTTACTCCCCACTCTAAATACGGTTCCTATTACAAAATTGCTTGATACGACAGCCCCAACTGATTTCATTTTCACTGACATGTTGTCAACCATTTGCTCTGATAGCGTATTGTCATGAGCTTTCTTGAATTCATTTTCATTTTCTGGTCGTATATCAGAGATTCCATCTGTGTGTCTTCTTGGTAAACCTTCAAAAGATTTTAGCTCAAGTACTGCCTGTTTGTTCATGTAAATCATAGCTGGCTTAATGTAAAATATTGGGCTTTGACAGTCCATTACTGATGCAAGAAAAATGATATACACAATTGGATCATCAAGCTTTTGACCAGTCATTGTTTGCAATAATGGTCAGTCCTCTAGGATTGAATGAGAAAAGTTATTCAATCTTTAAAAAAATTGAAGCATTTAAATATACATTTCTTTACATACATGTATAAGCTTTGTCATTAGAGGATAAAGACTATTGTTTTGGCATTACCAAGACTTTAAGTTTAATGCAATATGTGTATGTCCAGTAAGGCTCCAACATTTACAATTTTTTGTTATGTTGACAAGATTGCTAAAAACCGAAACGATTCCGTTTAAACGTTTAGGTACTTCTATGTTCTATACTATACCATTTATTTGAGTTGCGAAATGATTACTTAATTTCTAATTTTAATACAATAACAAATAAATAATGTTCATGGATGATCACGAAGGAGTCGGCACAATCTTTTGCACTGTATCCCAATTTCACTCTTTTGAAAGATCAAAGGAAAATTAACTTTACAAAAAGAAGTTTTTACCCGTAAGTGATTATTTCACGGTGATGAAGTGTGTCACATTCCAGGCTGCCGACTATCATTGGCCAATCAAAGCATTGCTTATATAGAAACCTGACAACACTATTGGTCTGCTTGTTTATATGGACTATATATTTAAACAATGGTGGGTGGATAAAGTAAACATGTTTGCTATTCTCTAATTAATGAAGCATTGTACTGTCAGTGTTATAAAACCAAAGTAAGTAACGGAGTTTTCACATCCTTCCCAAAAAGCCAATAATTTTTCAAAAACTGAGGGTGGAGTTATGGTTATTGTACACTGCACTTCCTCTCATTGCGCTTGACCATTGTATGAAGTTGTATTGAATTCCAACAACTAGTTTTCAAGTTATGCACTAAACAAAAGAAGTAGCAAAGGGCAATAAATGTATTTTGTCCAAATAAAGTCATGGTTCCTTTGCACTGCACTTCATCGCACTGCCCTCGACCATTGTATGAAGTTTCAGTGAACTATTAATTTTCAATTTATGCACTGGACAATAAAAAACAAAGAGCAAAAACTTATAAATGAGCCAATAAAGATCGAGTCATGGTTTCTGTGCACTATCTCTCAATATACTTGACCATTGTGTGAAATTGTATTGAATTTAAACATGAATATTTCAAGTTATGCTCTGGACAAGAAAAAAGCAATGGAAAAGTAACAAAGGGCAATAACTCTGTAATTACTCTGGAGTTATGGTTCTTCTCCACTGCACTTCCTCTTATTGTGCTTGACCATTGTATGAAGTTGTTTTGAATTCCAACCAGTACTTTTCAAGTTATGCTCTGGACAAGGAAAAGTTTTTATCAAAGAGAAATAACTCTGTAATTTGTCAAAATGGTTTTATGGTTCTTGGGCACTGCACTTCCTCTTAATGTGCTTGACCATTGTATGAAGTTGAATTGAATTCCAACTATCAGTCTTCAAGTTATGCTCCGGACAAGGAAAAGTAACAAAGGGCAATAACTGTGTAATTAGTCAAGATGGAGTTATGGTTATTGTGCACTGCACTTCCTATCAATGTGCTTGACTATTATATGAAGTTATATTGAATTCAAACCATAAGTCTTCAAGTTATGATCCGGACAAAAGAAAGAAATGGAAAAGTAACAAAGGGCAGTAACTCTGAAATAACTTTAAATAGAGTTATGGTTTTTGTGCACTGCACTTCCTCTCATTTTGCTTGATTATTGTATGAAATTGTTTTGAATTTCAACTTTTAGTCTTCAAGTTATAATCCGGACAAAAAAAGCAATGGAAAAGTAACAAAGGGCAATAACTCTGTAATTACTTTAGATACAGTTTTTGGTTCTTATGCACTGCAAGTTCTCTTATTGTGCTTGAACATTGTATGAAGTTGTATTGAATTTCACTTAGTAGTTTTTAAGTTATGTTCCGGACAAGGAAAATTAACAAAGGGCAATTTCTCTTTTATTAGTCAAAATGGAGTTATGGTTCTTGTGCACTGCACTTCCTCTCAATGTGCTTGATCATTATATTAAGTTTAACCTGAGTTATATTGAATTCCAACCATAAGTCTTCAAGTTATGGTCCGGACAAAAGAAAGCAATGGGAAAGTAATAAAGGGCAGTAACTTTGTAATAACTTTAGATAGAGTAATGGTTCTTGTGTACTGCACTTCCTCTCAATGTGCTTGACCACTGTATGAAGTTGTATTGAATTCCAACCATCAGTCTTTAAGTTATGCTCCGGACAAAAAAGCAATGGAAAAATAACAAAGGGCAATAACTCTGTAATTACTTTAGATAGAGTACTGGTTCTTAAGAAATGCACTTCCTTTTAATGTACTTGACCATTGTATGAAGTTATACTGAATTCCAACAAAAGTCTTCAAGTTATGCTCTGGACAAAAGAAAGCAATGGAAAAGTAACAAGGGCAATAACTGTGTTATTACTTTTAATAGAGTTATGGTTCTTGTGCGCTGCACTACCCCTTATTGTGCTTGATCATTGTATGAAGTTGTTTTGAATTCCAACCCGTACTTTTCAACTTATGCTCCGGACAAGGAAAATTAACAAAAGGCAATAACTCTGTAATTAGTTGAGATAGAGTTATGGTTCTTGTAAACTGCACTTCCTCTCAATGTGCTTGACCATTGTGTAAAGTTGTATTGAATTCCAACCATTAGTCTTCAAGTTATGCTCCGGACAAGGGAAATGCAACGGACCGCTGGACCGACCGACCAACTGACCAACCGACTTACCACCGAGTGACTCTTATATACCCCCCAAACTTCGTTTCGAGGGTATAAAAATTCAGGGAGGAGCACCAAAGGTCTTCCTCTACTGGTAAAACTGTAATGTTACCATTTACTATTGGTTTGGCACTTAAAACCCACAAAAAACTAAAAGAAAAAATAAAGTTTTCTTACTTGTAGTTCTCTTCACAACATGCAAAGCTGTCATTACATATTTACTCCCCACTCTAAATACGGTTCCTATTGCAAAATTACGTGATATGATAGCCCCAACTGACTTCATTTTCACTGACATATTATCAACCATTTGCTCTGATAGCGTATTGTCATGAGCTTTCTTGAATTTATTTGCATTTCCTGGTCGTATATTAGAGACTCCATCCCGTAGACTTCTTGGTAAACCTTCAAAAGAGTTTAGCTCATGTACTGCATGTCTAGCTGTTTGTTCATGTAATTCACAGCTGGTTTAATGTGAAATATTAGGCTATGGCAGTCCATTACTGATACAACAAAAACAAAATACACAATTGGATCATCAAGCTTTTGACCAGTCATTTTCAGCAATAATGGCCAGTCCTCTAGGACTGAATGAGAAAAGTTATTCAATCTTTAAAAAAAAAATTGAAGCATTTAAATATACATTTCTTTACATACATGTATAAGCTTTGTCATTAGAGGATAAAGACTATTGTTTTGGCATTACCAAGACTTTAAGTTTAATGCAATATGTGAATGTCCAGTAAGGCTCCAACATTTACAATTTTTTGTAATGTTGACAGGATTGCTAAAAACCGAAACGATTCCGTTTAAACGTTTAGGTACTTCTATGTTCTATACTATACCATTTATTTGAGTTGCGAAATGATTACTTAATTTCTAATTTTAATACAATGACAAATAAATAATATTCATGGCTCATCACGAAGGAGTCGGCACAATCTTTTGCACTGTATCCCAATTTCACTCTTTTGAAAGATCAAAAGAAAATTAACTTTACAAAAAGAAGTATTATGCCGTAAGTGATTATTTCACGGTGATGCAGTGTGTCACATTCCAGGCTGCCGACTATCATTGGCCAATCAAAGCATTGCTTGTATAGAAGCCTGACAACACTATTGGTCTGCTTGTTTATATGGACTATTTTACTTAACAATTGTGGGTGGATAAAGTAAGCATGTTTGCTATTCTCTAATTTATGAAGCATTGTACTGTCAGTGTAATAAAACCAAAGTAAGTAACGGAGTTTTCACATCCTTCCAAAAAAGCCGTAAATTACGTCTTTTGATAGTCTTGAAACTCTGTCTCATCTCAACATGAAGTTGCATTGAATTCTAAACATTAGTTTTTAAGTTATGCTCCGGACAAGGAAAATTAACAAAGGGCAATAACTCTGTACTTTAGATAGAGTTTGGTTCTTGTGCACTGCACTTTCTTTCAATGTGCTTGACCATTGTATGAAGATTTATTGAATTCCAACCAAAAGTCTTCAAGTTATGCTCCGGACAAAAAAAGCAATGGAAAAGTAACACAGGGCAATAACTCTGCAATTACTTTAGATATAGTTATGGTTCTTGTGCACTGCACTTCCTTTCAATGTGCTCGACCATTGTATGAAGTTATATTGAATTCCAACCATAAGTCTTCAAGTCATGTTCCGGACAAAAGAAAGCAATGGAAAAGTAACAAAGGGCAATAACTCTGTATTACCTTTAGACAGAGTAATGGTTCTTGTGAACTGCACTACCCCATTTTGTGTTTGATCATTGTATGAAGTTGTTTTGGATTCCAACTAGTACTTTTCAAAATATGTTTCGGACAAGAAAAAGTAACAAAGGCAATAACTCTGTAATTAGTGGAGATAGAGTTCTGATTCTTGTGCACTGCACTCTCTTTCAATGTGCTTGACAATTGTATGAAGTTGTATTGAATTCCAACCATTAGTCTTCAAGTTATGCTCCGGGCAAGGAAAATGCAACGGACCGCTGGACCGACCGACCACCGAGTGACTCCTATATACCCCCACCACCAAACTTCGTTTCGGAAGTATAACAATTCAGGGAGGGGCACCAAAGGTCTTCCGCTACTGGTTAAGCTTTAATGTTACCATTTACTATTGGTTTGGAACTTAAAACCCAACAAAAACAAAAATAAAAAATAAAGTTTTCTTACTTGTAATTCTCTTCACAACATGCAAAGCTGTCATTACATATTTACTCCCCACTCTAAATACGGTTCCTATTACAAAATTGCTTGATAAGAAAGCCCCAACTGACTTCATTTTCACTGACATGTTGTTAACCATTTGCTCTGATAGCGTATTGTCATGAGCTTTCTTGAATTGTTTTGCATTTCCTGGTCGTATGTCAGAGAGTATGTGACGACTTCTTGGTAAACCATCAAAAGATTTTATTACAACTCCCTCATTTGAAATATTTCTGTATTTGCTAGGTGATCTTTCACCTGAATGAAAAAAGTTATTTATTCTTTAAAAGAATTTGAAGCATTAAAATATACATTTCCTTACATACATGTATAAGCTTTGTCATAAGTGGATAAAGATAATTGTTTGTTAACTTGTATATTGGCATTACCAAGACTTGAATGCCATATGTGTATGTCTATTTAAGCCCCAACATTTACAATTTTTGTAACGTTTACAAGATTACTTAAAACTGAAACGCTACCGTTTCTATGAACTGTACTATACCCTTTTTTTTTGCCAAATGATTACTTGCTTTCTATTTTTAATACATGTGCTCAGGGCTCATCGCGAGGGAATTGGCACAAATTTTACGAACTGTATTCCCATTTCTCTCTTTTGAAAGATCAAAGGAAAATTAACTTTACAAAAAGAAGTATTTGGCCGTAAGTGATTATTTCACGGTGATGCAGTGTGTCACATTCCGGGCTGCTGACTATCATTGGCCAATCAAAGCATTGCTTATATAGAAGCCTGACAACACTATTGGTCTGCTTGTTTATGTGGACAATTTTATTTAACAATGGCGGTGGATAAAGCAAACACGTGTGCTAGTCTCTAATTAATGAAGCATCGTACTGTCAGTGTTATAAAACCAAAGTAAGTTACGGAGTTTTCACATCCTTCCAAAAAGTCATAAGCTTTGTCTTTTGATTGTCTTGAAACTCTGTCTCATCTCATTTTTACTGGGAATAAATCAATAAAAACTGATAAAATTCATAATTTAAAGGACCTCCAATGAGGTCAAATAGCCTAAAATAATAAATTTTGAAATTCTTTCTTAAATCAACTGGTACATTTAAATTTGAAACCAAGCAATAGAGGATATATAAATATAATAGGTATTAAATTGATAATCGATTTGTTTGCAAGTTTTGGCCGACTTGAGTGAAAAGCGTTTAAACGGTTTTAATTTATTGGGCCAATTTGTAAAATTGACTATTTCTGGGAAATAGAGTGAGCGAATAATTTGAAATTTTGTAGATGAGTTATTGATCTAGAGATATATCAAGTTATACGGAAATCGTGAAAAAATATTTTCGGTCCCTTCACTTAAAAAACCCCTCAGTTTTTAATACAGGTAATTAATAACCCTTTAATACAGGTAATAACTAGGATATTTTGAAAAGACAACGAAGTCAATTTGTTTAAATGAAAAAACAATATCGTACACATTTACTAATGAAAATCAAAACGAACATGTTGAAATGTGTTACTCTGTGGGTCTTAATGTCAAGGACTTGATTATTGCAAGCTAAAACATTTCTCTATATGGCTGAGTGGATTAATTTGCTAACTCGAATCTTGTAAGAGATTCTTGGATTCATTCATGCGAGAAAAGCTGCCCAGGAAACTACAGAATGTCACTACTTGAGTGCCAACTAGTTCCTGAAATAATTCAGGAAGGGGCACCTGAGTCTACCATCATACACTGGTTAAGCTGAACGTCACCATGATATGACTATCATTGTGGGACTTAAAACCCAACAAAAACAAACAAACATGAAAAAAGTTTTCTTACTTGTAATTCCCTTTAGAGCTGTCACTCTGTATTCGCTCCTGATTCTTGCAAAGTCTTTTTTCAGTACCTTTATGGTTACAACTCCAAAAATAACTCTCATTGGAAATAAAATCGCAAAACATACAAACGTCACAAACTCTAGTATTAGCAGAAATATTTTCCTATTTGTTGTATGACTCACATCAGGTTTTGTGACCTGATCAAAGAAATTTTTTAAGTCATCGAAACTTGATGCAAACATTAAGTATCTTAAAATAACTTTGAGGATTCTGACATACAATTCGGTTTTTTTCTCATTTGATGCGTTTAAGAGAGACATCAAATGTACACATAACTGTACATGTTGTATACCGGTATATATTGTCCATTTCGTTTCCATGGGAGCCCTATCAGGTTTTGTGGCCTGATCAAAGCGTTTTATAAAGGCATCGAAAGTAGCTTGAAAAAAAAAGGTTCCAAAAATCATCACTTTGTAGAATCTAGCAAACACTCTGGTTTTTGTATCTTCCATCACAGATAGAACAAAAGATGGACAATTTTCATCAAGTATCAGATAACATGCAATCACATGTACTGTAAGTATTAGCGATAATTGCCTCACAGCACGTTTTGTGACCAGATCAAAGAAATATTTTGATTCAGAGTACATTATGGTTACTAAAATCACTGTGTATATAACATATTCTTGTAATGTATCTAATGTTTTCAAAGATACCATCTCAGGTGGAAGATAAGATGAAAAAATTTCATCAGATATCCGATTACATGAAAACACCCATGCTATTGTCAGTATTAGCGAATACATTTTCCTTTTTGTTGTATGGCTCACACCTGATCAAAGAATTTTTTTAATTCAGTGTGTGGTAAAAATAAAGGTTACTAAAATCACTTTGTAGGTTACAGCAAACACTCTGGTTAATGTATCTAATGCTTTCGAAGATTCCATCTCTGGTAGAAGATGAGATGAACAATTTTAATCAAATATCACATATACAAATAAAAGATCCTATGAAGTATTTAGTATTATAGTCCATCAGATCGATTAAAAAGTGACATTCTTTGCTTTTGTTCACAGTAACATCAAAGCAGAAAAGTCTTTATCTACTGTTTCCATTTGTAAATGCCCTGGAAATAAAAACAAAAAAAATCTATATATTGCGAGTTGTTAATCAAAACTATATTCAATAAAACTTATAAAGTATACATAATGTATACACAAATCACATTCATGCATTTTTATCATTTTTTTTCCATAATATGGTTGTGAATGTTTCATATATACTTTGCCTCTTTCATTGTCATATGAAGCTCTGTGAGGTCAGTGGGAACCTATGGTTGTATCACTTGTGGTTCAAATTTTGCGTGGAACACATACACAAAAGTTTGATAAACCATTTCTATTAAACAACTGAAATTCTTGATAGTTGTGAACACTCACCATCATATAAGCTCAATGTCATTAGAGTGAAACACAGTTGTTAGAATTTGTCTTCATAATAACCCACGTAGATATCCATTTCTATGATGCAAGTTGCATTCTGTAATAAAACAAGGGAAAGAAGCCAGTCAGTCACATCTTTAATATATATAGAGTTAGTCCCCTTTTAATTATGTTTTTATGACTGTTCATGGTCAATTTAAATTTCTTTTTTATATATTGCTTTATTCAATACATTTTCGTGTATGTCTCCATTTTATGTTTTTCAAAACTATTGTATTCATACTTTTTAAACAAATAATTGATAAATCACACTTTTATATGGCTTATACAGAAACAGTCTAATGTATCCCTTTATGGCTATTTATAAGCTTCTTGCCTTGAATGTCTGAATGACATTTTTGCGACGGACGCGCCCTCAGGCGCGTTCAGAGCTAAGTCACCTTCACTACAATCACGCAAAGTGTCCTAAACCGATTAACAGCCCAAGAAATAGTACATGAATTTGATCCTTCAAAACTCCCATACTTTTTCGGGATATCTTAAAATCTTCCATATTTAGCCTTTTCAATTTCAAATTAAGTTATCCAAGTTAAAATATGAACGTATATTATTGATAAAAACGTTGTAGTCCAGTAGTATTATTGTGCAATATGCAAATTACTGCCGAATCGATTTACCGCTGTCGAAAAAGTAGGACAGCAAATTATACTACAATAAAGATGTAAGCTCTGAGTTCCAAGACATTATTAGTAGGAAATATATATTTCTACATTATACAAAACATTATTATTAATAAATCAAAAGTTTTTCGTGACTCTAGGATAACTCGCGCATTAACAAAAGAAGAACTATGTTCGTGACTCATACCGCGGGTTTAGCTGAATATTCAGCAGTTATAAATAAATTAGATACAGTACAATGGTTAGTATAAATATCTATTTTTGAAAATGCATGTAAGAAGAGAGTTTTTCAACACTTTACCACTATGTAGTCTTTCGTGGTACGGAAGTTATAATATCAGTTCTACTTCCGATTATTGTGGTTTGTTTACATATTTTTCTAGGTCACGATATGAGTTAACCTTCGCTATTCTAAAAATAGATTCTGCTTCACTGTGCTGATTTTTGGACAGGCGATTAGGGAGTACACATTATACATGTAATAAACCAGCGGATTTCATGCAATACTTTTAGAAATTCTGTACAATTGTAAGAAGCAAACAAGTTGAAAATGGAATTTAGTGTGAAATTGAAAAGGACAACTAAACACTGTAGTGCTTAAGTGACATTTAAATTAAAATAAAAACGATGTGCTCTGGCCTCTACATCTTTACCTTGTAAATAAAAAAAATCTCAAAAATACACTATTAATTGCTGATGATTTTAACCAAAAATTTTTTAATGAGACATATCTAAGAGAAATAAAAATACAAATGACTTATATTTTATTGTCTATATGCCCACTATGATATAACACGAAGCAATTCTAAATAGCATTCTCAAATGTATAATGTATTATGCTTGAAATTTATTTGCATGGTTTTATTTTAGAAATATTTCGTTGACAGTATTTTTTTCTATTTACATATCATTTCTTGGAATAAATCGATAAGGACACTGATTTTCAAGTTTGACCAGAGTTTTTAGGCATAAATTTCATTCTGTATTTAAATGCTTGATAGTAGAAAATCTGAATTATATCAGTTTGGGACACAAACTATATTGCTCTACAAATCTCGAACTTGTATGGAACAAATTTTCTCTGTTAGTATTTTGTGTTTTGTTTTTGTTTTGTTTTTTCTAAAAGAAGCCTTAATGTCTCTCCGGTTGCATGTCTGTCGCATTCAGTGCTGCAGCACTTTGATTAACTTCTGATATGTGTGAAAAATTTTCTTTAAAAAATCTTATGATCTACATTATGTTACCTAGGTGAAAATGACTACCATTACTTGTTCTACTTTCATATTATAATTAGTAGTTTTCTACCTAGACTTGCCTTTATTCCCTGCGGTCTGGAGACCGCAGGGTATAGGTACGCGTTTAACTTTTGAGGCATGGAGGAGCACGTGACATGTATTCGGTGCATGTAGGAGCATGTGATCTATAAACCGTACATGATTGGTTAATTGACCTTTTCGAAAACCTAGCTATATACCGTTTGCCGGTACGTTACGGATTTACCAGTAGGGACTTAGTCCGAATTACACCTAATTAAGAACAAAAAACTACTACGTGATATTTCTAATTTTCTATAATTATTTTACCGTTTAAGGTGGAAAAACTTGAATGATGTGTTTGAAAATTATCAATGTTTCTACTATAATATCTATCTCAAATTTTACAAACAATTAATTGTTTATACTGAAAATCTACAAAATTAAAATATTCATTGTGACATCTGCCATAATAAATAGAGATATTTTCTGCGTACACTTGTGTGTTTACTTTATTTATTTTTTGCTCGGAATTATTCATAAAATGGTAGGCCTATTTAATCATTTCTTAAAAAGAAATAATTGTTTTATGTTCTTCAACGGTCACCAGTTTCCCAAGACCTAGCTTCTTCTATATTGATCGTTTATTCAATTGTCAACTATATTCCTGATACAAACGTTTATCTACCCCCCCCCCCCCCAAATAATAATGAAATATCTTTATATCATTAAAACGTTCACCGCAGGAAACCATTTTACTTGTCTTATTTTTAGTATGTTTGTTTTTCCTTGCTGATACAGCAGTGGAAGTCAATGGTCAATGGAAATGGAGTTATGGAGTCAATGGTCAATACATAAATATACTTATTTCATTTTTATTTCTAAACCATAATTCCTGGTACTGTAGAAGAAAAACCTTAATATAGTTATTTAAATTACATCTATTTTATCCTCTGAAAGTTATATTATTTATTTATATCTAGATATTATTTTTCCAATTCTACCAAATGAGATTAATATACGTATTTAATACTTGTTTTCATATCCAAGATTTACATGTATACCCCATATTGTTTGTAATGAACATGTGTATTATTTTGTGAATTAAATACTGTTTAAACTAATAGAAAATCTTTTGATAAGGTAATTATATTTTTTTCAACTTCATTTCATTTCAAGTCCATTATTTGTAATATTTAGAATGGATTTTTGGCGAATAAATGAATTTTTGTCTTGAAGGTAATCACATGAGCTCAAAAGTTCAAAAGAATTTAAAAATATAAAAAAAAAAAACAAAAAAAAAAACGAAATATTAAGCGAGAAAATAACCTGAAATTTTGTAGTCCAGGCCAACAACAATTTGGTACCCAAATCTTGGGGAAAATTTTCCTTTTATGTAAAATAAACCTCAGTGGAGTTTGTTTGACAGATTTATTGAAGACAGTTCAGACTTTCACAAGAATTAATTCATGGATTTAATTAAATAAAATGAACATTTTAAAAAAGAAACTAACTTTGGTTGTCATGGTGATTTTTAAAACAATATTGTGTTTAACAGAAAACTTACAAAAAGAAAGTTACTGTGCTCTATAAATCAAACCCTGCTACATTCTAAAACTACTTTTATGAAATTATGTAACTTCTTTGAAATTTATATGGAAATCTTTACCTTGTTTTACTGTTTTTAATTATCTTGACTTTTTAAAATCGAAAATGGAAATTTTACTTCCTTTTTCATGCACTAATTGTTCAAGGGAGGCTATCATTTTTCAATTCCTAACTTTTTGGCAATTATCTCCCTTCCTATCTTCTTTGTATATATTTAAAGAAGTATAACATTTGTATTTGTTGTGACTTTTTTCAAAATAAGATTGATATTCTAAATATATTAATTGTAACCATTTTGAATTTGTACTTGTCAACTAGGCAGAAACATATTTCTCTCAGTTTTTTCGGAGTAACTTCATCAGAGAAGGAAAAGACCTACATGGTTCACTTACCAAGAACAAGTTGCTTATTCTGTATGCCGTTTTCCTTTCTGTCCTCTCAAAAGAAAACAACAATAACAGCTTTACATGTATTTCTTAATCCTTATCATTAATTATCTATTTGTCATAGCTATGTATTAAACTTGAAATTAACTGTAAGTTGCAATATCTGTAAAATTAATCAGCAAACCTAATGATTTCTTATATCTGGCTTGGCTATATGATTATTGCTGCTACATTTAAAGGCCCATATATTATGCCTCAGAAAAACTTCTGGTGCAATTACAGCCAAACTTTACAGGAATGATCAGTACTAAGTCTAGTTGTGCATGTTGTTGAATGTTTAATGATCTTTTAGCCGAGTTATGACCCTTGAATAAAAAGGTTTTAATAAATTTTGTCGGGACTACTCCTCTTATACCACTAATGAAAATGTCAATAAAACTTTACAGAATTGATAAGTAGCTACATAGAAGCTGCAACATGCACTTGGCTATCATGAGGCGGCACATGTGATCACTGATTGCTCATGTGATCACTGATTGCTCCTGTTATATATTTTTATTTTAGTATACTGTTTCCAAAAAAGCTACTCATTGCCAAATTACCTGAAACCTTTTTTCATTATATTGCTTTTTGACAATTGCTATAGTTATAGTGATTTATTATTTTGTATGGAAGACAAATAATTACTGTTCACATTTTGCTACGTTTATGATAAATAAATTTACATTAAGGTCTAATTTCTTCATGTGATTAGCATCTAACATGCTTTTAAACCATTGTTAACCATTATTAAACTTAATTACCCTTTCTATTGGCAATTACTACTTAATTACCCTTTCTATTAATCCTGAGGCATTATGTGCCTTTAAAGGTTTTGATTTTTAGCTCTACTGTTACAAAGCAGTGTAGGAGCACATTTGTCTCGGGGCACATTTTTCTTAAGTAAGACCGATGCGGTCTCATTTGTCCCACATGAGACAAATTGGACCTCTAATGTCTACCCCAAAAAACACATTTGTGTGACAAATGTGCTCCGATCAAGTCTTTTAAGTGACAAGAAAGCACATTTGTCTCAGTTTTTTTAAGAGACAAGAAAGCACATTTGTCTCTTGTCATTTTCTATGAATTATTTGTCATATATTTTCTCACGGCAAATTTATATTTTAGAATCGAGGTTCGCTATTTACCTCATGTCAAGGGTATTCAACAATAGGTTTGCTAATGCTTTTTTATGAAATTTTAAACCTAAAAGCTACAGTGGAACTATCAATAATAATATCTCTTATTCAATAAATTTGAATGGCTGAACCTGAAGGCGTACACTGAAACATAAGGAATCCCGTTCACGATGGTATAATGATGAAAACTCTACGATAATTAATACGCGAAAGTTTGTTGATGAAAACACGATGGTACGAACGTGAAACAATGCTGGCACGATGACGAAAATGCGATGGTACGATGCTGAAACTGTGATGGCATGATGACGAAAATACGATGGTACGATACTGAAACTGTGATGGCATGATGACGAAAATACGATGGTACGATACTGAAACTGTGATGGCATGATGACGAAAATACGATGGTACGATACTGAAACTGTGATGGCATGATGACGAAAATACGATGGTACGATACAGAAACTGTGATGGCATGATGACGAAAATACGATGGTACGATACTGAAACTGTGATGGCATGATGATGAAAATACGATGGTACGATACAGAAACTGTGATGGCATGATGACGAAAATACGATGCAAAAG